AAAAGAAGGATTGTGATGTACATGCGAACGGTCTCCCCCTAAAGAAGAAATAGCCGTGACAAGGGTGCATTAGTTAATATAGTGTGAATGATTTTAGGATTTTATTGGCGCTCCCCATTGAAAATATGGCATGAGCCTTCCCCCCCCCCCACCCCACCTATTGATTTTCGGAGGCCTAAGTGTCTGGAAAAAAATAACCGGTCTACATTTCAGCACGCCTCCCTGAAAAAATTCTGGATCCACCGTGCTAGCCCCCCCCCCCCAAATATTGGTTCTAGAACCGCGCCTGGCTTATGGCACAATATAACAATATAACGGTGCATTAAAAATACCTCACGCGGCCACCATTTCTATGCAAATCAGTTGGACCCAATCTAGCGCCTTGGTTCAATCGTCGGCAAAAGCTTATGTTTTTCTTTATTTTGCACTGGATTTCTAGCGCACGACCTCGTATGCGAATACAGATAAGTGTAGGCGGGGCTAATATGTGGAGTGTCCAATCACACCTTGGTAAATCCGGACGTCATCAAATTATTTGCTATTCGCCTTTTGCGGACGTGACAGGAACCACACTTTTTGTGCATTGGTGCCGTGTGCAGAGACACACAACGTGTACGTGTATGGACTATGTACGGTGCCACGTTTCACTATGCAAGTTTCCTCGCAACGATCGACCAATAAGAAAACGACATTTAAGGTCAGCTAAGGGTATTAACATAATGAGCACCACCCCCAAAACCTCACATGGACGATTGAACCAAGGCGCTAGATTGGGTCCAACTGATTTGCATAAAAATAGTGGCCGCGTGAGGTCGCTGTTCGCGCTGTATTATTAATGCACTGCATGCATAGACATAATTATGACTGCATGCATAGCACTAGCGAAGATATCGTTTACCGCGTTACGGCCGGATGAATAACAACTAGCGCCTTGACCAAGGCTATGTGAGACGTTAATTTGTTACTAATGTTTTACTTAAAGGGAAGATACAACATTTGCAAACATCACAAAACGAAATGATCGAATTATCACGAAATACCTTACTGGATTGTTAGGGAATGACAGTCTAAAACATTCTGTAAAATCGTGGCTCCTAGTGTGCTGTCATTTTCAAGAAAAAATGGGATTTTTTCAACACTGGTCGGCCGACCAGCGTTGGAGAAAACTTTTTTTTTTTCAAAAAGTGCTTTTAATTTTTCATAATTAGTTATTCCGCGTTTTCTTTGCAATTGATTACACACCTGTGAAGGGGTACAAGCCTGCTAGTCTGATTCTCTGACCTTACAATTCCGCAAAGGTTATACATTGCTCTGTTTCATCTTAAGTGGGGTCAGGGAACCCGACTACAAGAACATGATTGGTTTTCTTGGTTTTTCCAGCATCTACAAGCCCAAATCGTGAAACAAGTCATTTTAACAATATTTACTATAACATACTAATCCTCCAAATCCATTTATTTCTGAAACCTGCAGCAAAAGCAAATGTTGTACATTCCCTTTAATTTGGCACTGAAATGTAATATCCTCATGGGCGTAAATCCCGCGGGGATGGGCGGATACATCCCCAACACTTTCTGACCGGGGATGGGGAATTGGTTCCGCCCCCCTCCAAGGGCGGATCCAGAACACAATTTTTTTGGGGGGCCAAAAAAAATTTGGTCCCCCCAAAAAGTGGGTCAAAAAAATTACGGCATGGGGTTCGGGGCCCGCTTAAGGGCCCCGAATTTTTTGGATTCTAGATGCTCTGTGGTGCGATCTGAGGCAATTTCTGACCACTTTAACCAATGTTTTTTTGAGGAAAAGATGGTGGTGTACTCATTGCCTGCCTTTATTGCGATGTCACATAAAAAAAACAAAAAAAATTGGTTTCGTTTTTTTTTGGGGGGGGGGCCATGGCCCCCTTTGGCCCCCCCCCCCCCTGGATCCGCCCTTGCCCCCCTCCCGTTTTGAAGGTAAGAAACCCAAAAATCTTCCCAACTGTCCAAATTAATAAAACAGTATTGAAAAGAAACCACGGAGAATAAGCTTTCAATGCCCAGCTTTGAAGGTTAACAACCCCCTTAGGCCCTTTTTTTTTGCTAGGAACCATCCTCATTCTTCCAAAATACTTCAAAATGTTGCACTTGTGTTTAAATGAAGGATACCCAGCGCCTCTATCCTTCCCAACACTCCAGACAGTCCTGCCTCTCAAAATGCATGCATCCTAAATACTCCTCAATATTCCAATATTCATCTTCTTCAAACACCATTCATCCTCAATCCTCCAAAATCCTCATTTGCTTCAGCACCATTCATCCTCAATTCTCTAAAATCCTAAATTTTTCTCAAGCACCATTCATCCACAATCCTCCAAAATACTCCAAAACCGGGGGATTTTTGAAGATTAAGGCTGGTTACGGTGTAAGGGACGTATAAACGTATGTTTCCATTACATGTATTTTGTATCGTGAACAGCACCCCTATGTAATATCGTGTCAACCCCCCCCCCCAAAAAAATCCCATTTTGAATTCACACGACCGGACAATTTTAGGATTTTGCCGCATGGTCATCCCCCATCTGCCACACTCTCCGGCATGGATTTACGCCACTGATATGTCCTACTTCATAGTACGAGTTCTCCTTGGCCACAGCTTTGGCCTTGAGCGCGGGAATATCGGCGTAGTGGTTGTTTGCTTTCTCCCCGTCCCCATCCAAGGCAACGAAGAAAGCCTTCTCGGCACCGGCAGTGGCAGACCCACAGTGGTCAGGCTGCTAGGGTCATGAAACACTCTTAAATTGAAGATAAGTTGACGTTGGCCGTGTGTTATGCGGGAAAGGGGGGGGGGTTTAAATCCCGGAGAGGGATAACTGAGGCCGGGCATAAAATGCCCGGCTCCTCCATCCGCCCACCTCCACCCCGCACACCGATTTTTCTTAGCCAAACAAAAATAATGTCAACCACAATTGGCACCTCATTATCAGGCACACTTAAATAAAAGTGATGAAAAATTAAAAGGGCAACCTGATGGGAATGGAAATGTGTTGTTTAATAAAAAGCGCCAGCTCAGTAAATGTAGTTTTCAATTGGTGCATGCACTTTCCCTTTCAGTTCGATTTTATTACGTCCTAAAATGTGAATGGTGTGTTGTCACCTTGTGTTTGCCTGTATTTGTTAAAAATTTATTTCAGAGCAATTGGCTCATTACGGGGCGGGCTAAAACAAAACTGGGGCGGGGGGGGGGGGGGAGGTGTCCCCTCGTCCATGATTTCGCTGACTATAATGATAGTAGAATTTCATCGCATTTAGTTGAGTATAACATTTGTTGAGAGTTTATTTCTAATGAGAATTCTTTGTAACGATTTTCCCCCTCCAATTGTCAACAACCGTTGAACATGGACACCCCCCCCCCCTCCCCGACACTCACGACACCTGTTTGCAGGGCGGGGCCGCGCCGGGGGGGGGGGGGGGACGAGCGAACTCCCCGTACCCCGGCCCCCGAAAGATATTGTGCAGGGAAAAGAAAACGAGTGCCGAGTGCAGTGGGAGTTAACTATAATGGAAACCTGAAGCCTTGTTAGGGCCCATCCCAAATCTTTTCAATGTAAACGCGTTTTTCAAAAGGAGACCTCCTTTAATTTTATTTAATTATAAATAGCGAGTGAAGTTCTTACAGGAGGTGTTATTGAGGGCGCTGTTCACTGACCCAATAACACAACAGAGTTTGCCTTTTGACATTTCGGTGAGCTGAACGAAAAAAATGGCGACAGAAATTGGACAGACAGACTGCAGATGCCACCTTAGTTTTTGTCGGTTTTCCTTCGAGTCAGCATGCGGCTTTGCAGCCCAATTAAATCCAATTTCTACCGCCAGAAGAGAAAGGGCTGATTAGGCGGGAGAGAGCAAAAATCGACCAGTTACAACAAGATAAGAACAAGGTAACGTAATGCGTAGACGACCGTAGTTCATTCGCCACAATAAACAACATTGGTTTGATCATTGATGCGCTGAAAGTGAAACTGATTCTTTCAGGTTAATTTTTTGTGTGGGAAACAATGTAACACAAGTAACAGTTAGACCCATCTGATCTCGACGCTACTTTTGTGGTCGTGCACATAGTATAGGTGGGGGGGGGGGGGGGGGGAGGGTGTGGATATTTTTTGACCAATGGAAAATTTGTTTCTCAATCTCGGTCCAAAATTCTTTTTTTATTAGGCCAGTCAACATTGGTTTTTAGGATTTCAGCACTCAGTATTGAAACAAAATTTCCGTACTGGATCACCACTTTTTTCAATTAATTTTCAAATGCCAAAAGTTGCATCTTTTATGGCTATTTCCTCCACTTTTCCCTCCTCTACTCTCACCCTCTCCTTTCCTTTATTCTGATTTATTAATCAGTCACTTACTTCATCGAGATTGGAACCTCGACTCTTGCTTGATACACGAGACTCTTAACCGCTAGGCCACGCACGATCGCTGTTGCAATAATCAATCTTTGGACGTATTTGAAGTATCCATTGAAATAAACTAAATATTCATGAGAAAATAAATATTCATTATGACGTATTGCACTATCATTGGCCGGCTCATGCATTGTCATGGTTGTCGATGTCATGCGTATAACGCACTGCTGTCTTCCAGACACTTCAATCACTTCAAAGTTTTGACCCGCTGCTTCAACTGCACGACGTGTGCATCCAAAATGTGCTCTAAAAACACATTTTTCCTAAATTTTTTTCCGCATTGCCGAGGCTTCCTGGATTCCTCTTGGGTGAAATCACAAGGAGGGGTGAAAATGGATGTGTTTGGTGGCAGGTAAGTTGGTGATCCAGTATGGAAGTTTTTCCCAAATCGGTCGGAAGGGGAATTTATATTTTATTATTTAGCCTGCATGTATATATTCAAAATTCCACTTCTTCACATTCAGAGTGAATTGAGGGGACAATGTCAGATAAACCTAGTAAAATAGTAATTAACATTAAGTACCAGTCAGCTGTTTAATGACCTAGGGTTTGTGTCTAGAATTTAAAAAGGATAGAGGCAAATAAAAAAAAAAACCATGTTGAGCATCCCCACCCGCTTCCTTTTTGGAGGCCACCTCTTTTTTTTTTGTATCAAGGATACTGCATTTTTTTTCTATCGATTTTTGTGTTCATTGATGCATTCTCTTTCAGAAAACTTTTGGAGAGTGCCTTCTTCGAGGGTGTGTCACCCGATTCAGGGGCAAGTCCTTAATTCATCTTTGCAGAGGATAGCCCGCTATGCGGTTGCCCCACTAGTGTGGCTGCGGTATTGCTGCGCTGTATCTCTGGCCACAAGCCAGGTTCTTCCCACCACTGAGGAGTTTGTCAAAAAAATACGCAAATTTTCTTCATACATATATGGTAGTATTCTATGATGTCTCAGCTGTTCTCCTAATATCCATTTTTTCGAGAAACTTAGGCATCTTTCTGGAGCCCATATGCACACGCAAAATGTCTGTTGATGGCAGCCATTTTGAATGAAAGAAGCGATGACCTCAAAGCTGTAACGTCGCGTTTACGCAAATCGATCTTGTCGCTGAGGCATAAAAAGTGAAATAAGGATACTGCATTCTTTCCACCGATTCTTGTGTTCATTGATGCATTCTCTTTAAGAAGACTTTTGGGAAACCCCCCACTTCGAGGGCATGTTACCTGTGTTTATGGGCAAGTCCCCACTTTGTGGAGGATAGTCCGCTTTACAGGTGATCAACCGTAGCAGCCTATTTTGCATATGAGCAACTCGTGAACACACGCACATACATCTATTTTTGGAAACACCAGCAATCCTTGACCCCCTATTCAGTGTTCTCCAACCTGCAAAAATACCCTGCAAAAACTGCCTCAGAGTCCCTGGTCACTGATGTATTAAAAAAAAATGACGCTGAGCCAGTGTAGGCCTACTTACCGGTAACTATTAGAAATGGCCTAAAAGCTGATATCGGCGTAGGTACATATTACATGTTCATCTGCAAATAGCGCCCCCTAGCATTTATAAGGGAATGTATGTCTGCCAATAGCGCCCCCTAGCATGTAGGCCCCCCCCCCACCTCCGCTTTTTGACGGAGCACGGACCTTTAATTTTCAAGGTTGGAGAAAACTGCCTAAATAGTCCACTATTGCCGGTGTTTACATACTTATACATGTACGTACACTTTTTCCACATTATAAAATTGCGGTGACTTTAATCTTTTGGCCAAATGTGGCAATTAAAGGTTGGATATCGGCAATTTGACCACAAAAAGAAATCCACGTACCGGTACATGTAGGCCTACATGTACATTATACCGGGGTACATGTAGGTTGGGTCACTATAAACCTTTTTTTTTTTCAGCCTTTTTATGGTTTGAAGTAAAACAGGTAAGAATGTTGCAATTGTTTTCAAAATTTTCAAAAAGATTTTTTTTAACAGTGAATTTTTGGTATGCTATTAAAAAGACTTCGTCTTTAGGAAGAGCTCAACAAGACATACATGTAATTAAATACATGTAGCTTCAGTTGATGGTCACTCAATGGACTACATGTATAAAGTTCTCCATGCTTCGGTGATACCTGCTTGTGTACACAAAGTTACTGAAAGAATTTTTGTTTTTTTTAATCAGAATGATCCGGCCTATTTTTTGGCATGCGGGTTCACTTACCCAATAAGCGTGTTCACCTTTTTTTGTGTGCAAAATTTACAACTTTCCTGAGCTTCCAAAGCCACAGTTCAGTCATCAATGCTGATTCATTTCAATATATTGTTTGACAGAAAAAAAAACACACAACAGGTTTCCAGTACTACAGCTACGTCTTATGCCCACGTATTCGCAATAATGTTGTGCATCGGGTCGGGTTGACCAGGCCAAACTGACCCCAAACATTATAGATATACCGCCATTGTTGGTCATCCTGCGACAACAGGAACCAAGGCTGATCCGAACTTCCCAAATCTGACTCGACCCGACAAAATCCAAAGAAAAACCGTCCTGAAACTGAACCGACCCCCCAAAAACGAACACCTGGTGTGAAAATTGTTGCCTCTCAGTAAAGAATCGCAGTATACAGTACGGTGGAGACTCATAACGTGACCTACTGGTGGGCCTACACCTTATAGACTGTGCATGATAGACATGATATACCCCAAACCACATTCACATGCATGCGGTGGGTTGACGTTGGTCGTACCGGGCACAGTAACTCTGCAATAATATTGCACCGCTTGAATTTCTGAACTGTTTCAGGTTTTTTTTCCGGTTTATTTCGGTTTATTTCGGTTTATTTCAGGTTTTTCACAAGAATGCTTAACTGATCCGACCCGACCCGACCCAACAATCGCAAACGCAAAACTGAACCCGAACTGAACTGAAATGATGAAAAAACCGACCCAAAGCCGGCTTCGGGTCGGATCAGTTTCAGTTTAGGGTCGAGTCTGCACAAGATCAATTCGCAACCCCAAAGACCTAGACATTCATATCAGCTCTAGACGGGAGATTCGGTTACGGCTGTTAAGCGTGTGCTAAAATATTGAGCGCGCAATGAAAAAAGTTCCGTTGACCCCATTTACACGTTCACAGGTCATTAGCCACTAGATGCGCTGGCAACTCCTGGACCCTAAATCCCATGTCGGGAATTTTTAGAAATTGACCATCATGGATCCGCTCACAGAGACCACCACCTGGGGTTCATTTTGGCAGACAAAGGAACTGTTTTTGGGCAAACATTCACAAACGTGTGCTTCAGGCACATGTACAATTTACACACATGTTCGCATACAACAACGTAGCTGACACATGATACAGTGAAGGTGTTTGTCCCAAAGCGAGCCAAACATCAGGTGACCACAATCAAATTAATCCAAGAAGGGGGTTACCAGAAAACAGACTGAGATTATTAACCCCATAAATTGGGCTCAGATACTAGACAGCCTCTGTATCCTGAGCCCTACAGCCACCCATGGAAGAAACGTGTGGACAATTTCCCCTGTTTTTGCTTTAAAATATAGTCTGTTTTACAAAAAAATGTTATGTGGTTTGAAATTATTAATAATGCGCATAGAATTTATTACCCCTTGCTCAGTGGGCCCATATCCCATCTCTACAACACACAACATCAAAGTGTTACAGTCGTTTGCTCAAATACATGTAGATGTCATGTGACATTATAATTTACATGTAGTATTTATTTTCACAAAGTGTGCAAAAATCATTGTAAACACATGCAAAATGAAAAGCCAAATGCATTGCGTATACAGCCTGTCTAAAAAAAAATGGTACAATCAGAAAAAAAATTGGTTAAATATGAAATTTCAAAATAAGTCATTCTTACTTGGCATAATATTAAAGAACAAATACTGGGCTTTCCAATAGTGTTTGTTTGATCTTATTTGCTTTTGTCAATTCAGAGATATAATCAATTTAGTGCGATACACCAAAATCGATTTTGTGCCACTTTTATGCATGGGCAGAGTTGTTTCGAGTACTGTGCCATGCTGTCTTGAACTGTTGAAGCTCACAAAAGATTGCAACTTGGCAAAAGAAACAAACTCGATTTTTGTGTTCCGCAGTAAACTGGAGTTATCTCTGGATTGACAAAAGCAAATGAGATGAAACAAAAAGTATTGGAAAGCCTGGTCTTTTTTCTTTAATGTGATGCTCAAAACGACTTACTTTTGTTGAGATTTAATATTGAAAAAAAAAATCGTTTTCGATTGTACCATTTTTTTTTAGACAGGCTGTATTTTCCCAGGATGTGCGGCGGTACTTGTAATTACTATTTGTTCAATAACTGAAATGTTACATCAATGCTTATTCACAGTTTAAAGTGTTGGGTAATCTCAAGTGCTGTGATTATATATTTTTTTTCTACCAGAGAGCCTTTACAGTGGCTTTCTTGCTTTACAGAAAGATGCAAAGAGATGCTGCTGAGGTGCCTTCGTCTGAAGAGTGTTCGGCAGTCCGTGTGAAGCAGGAGCCAGGGGAAGGAACATCCAGACAGTCGTCCTCGGAGAGCGGTAAGGCAACATCCTCCACCTCCTGCCCTCCAGATGATACCACGGTCATCAGCGATGCTGAAGATAGCGACAGGGGTAAATGCTTACATTTGTTTCACACTGGCATTCAAGATTCTCGGTCAAACAAATTATTCTGGAGATTAGTTTAGTTGTGACTACAGAGCGTGCAAGGTTGACTGTTGCAGTTGTTTGAAATGACTCCAGAGTCTAGTGGAAGGGAAGTTATTACGGGAATAAATATGTGCTTCGCCAGTTTAATAAAACAAGGGGCCAGGATGCTGATTCGGCTCAGGTCATGATCCGCGACCAGGCCCCTTGGCGGTTTCAATATGTACTTGTTTAATACCGGCCAAGCACATATTTATTGCATATTATACATACCTTTCAATCAACCTTTCCATTTGTTCAACAATTTTACCTCATGTTTTGTGAAACACCCCTCTTGCCATGTCTTTGGTATGTGCCTCACGTACGTAGTGCTAAAAATCTCCTTTTATGGCGTGCGCGGCGCGTACTGCATAATGATGCGCAGAACGCAATGGTGCAGGAATAAAGTGTGATTAAAACCAGTTGGTGTTTCATCAACCGTTTAAAACCACCCACGTGATGGGCTCTCGACCAATAGGTATGGGTAAACTGTCTTAGGTACTTTACATGTATGGATACATTTTAAAGTCTGTCTAAAACTCAATTCAATTTCAGTCGACTTGACATTTTGGATCGGTGTGAGTCCGGAACGCCACTTTGAAACAGATTTTGCCATAAACTTGAAATCTTATTCCAGGCATGTAACCTTTCCTTGAATCAGCCGATTTCCTCGTTTTTCACTTCACACTTATGCCATTAAAAATTGAAAAACACTGTATAACCTCCTGTGAAGTTTGGAGTTTCCCCTCTTATTTCTGTTACTTCAGTGATTTTCCTTAAGTAATGTAAAGCACACAGAAAAGAGTACCGTGAACATTTACAAGGAATCAAGGTCAACACCTACGGTACATGTAGCTTATCCAGTAAATTCAAGTACATGTAAGGATAGATAGATAGATAGATAGATAGATCGGTTTATTTATTCACAAATCGTGGCCCAAAGGCCAAATTGCATACGAATTTACAGTGTAAATTAAAAATTACAAACATTAAGTAAAACCAACTGTTAAAATATTGACAACAATAAGTAGCCTTAATAAAATTATATAATTATACACAAAAAAAAACATTCATACGGAGATGACTGACATAAAAGATTTGTTAAAAAGTTGATTTTTTTATTATTATTTTTTTATTGTGTGTGTGAGTTTGTTTCTGCATTCAACAAAGAAATCTGAAAAACAGAGGACAAGTGGGTTCCCAACCCCGAAGGCCCCAGCCTGACGACGTGTACAAAACACACGGGACTCAGATGTCATAGAGTTTGAGTCCTTTCAGCATGTTCAGCCTTTAGCAAATTAGTAAATACTTTTCCAACATTTTCAGCATGCGCTTTATCCAAGTACGCAGTTTTCTACTCATAATTACAATCCCAAGTTCTCAGACCATACTATCTGGTTGCTCAGACGTCATTCTAAAGTGACCTCCTGGGAGTTCCTCTGGGCACGGAGATGTAGGCCTATTTCCTGAAACCCGTTGTTTAGTTCTGTTCTTGTCTAGTTCATTCTGTTGATGACATGTGAATAATTAGGTGGTTTTTTTCCCCCACGAACCAGATTGGAGACTTCCTACCTTTTCCCTTGGTGGTATTGTGTTGTGCTTAAAGCTATAGTCCATCATTTGTAATTAGTGCATTTTGTTCGTTTGAAGCAACAAAAGTGTTCAAAATCTAATGAAGGATACTGAACAACTAACCTGATGAAGTTTCAGCTCAGCTTCAGCTTTATATTCCGAGAAAAAACAGCATTCTATGATCTCAATTTCAAATCAAAAGTTGCTGAATCATGTTTCGAATTGTTTTGAATTGCAGCTTTACGCGATGTCGCGCACTGATCCGACGAATTATAACAACCGCGCGCGCCTGTGCGTTGTGCCAATGCTGGCACGCGCTGCGCCGAATAACAAAACGAACTACTAATTTAAATTTTCCTACGGTGCTTCTTAAGACGCACCGTTGGAAATGCCTTCTTTCGTTGATTTCTTCAAAATGAGAGCTTGCCAGAAAGGATAATTTCACAGGGAGTTTAGTCCCCTTACTATCTTTCAAGTTTCAACCAGTATGTTTTTCAACAATAATTACGCCAGTTACTTTTTTGGATAGCTGCAAATGATGGACTCGGGCTTTAAGTTTAACAACGTCTTGTCACACAGCTAGAATATTATTTTAACACTTACATCAATGAGAATGACAATCATTCTTTTCCTGTAGGATGTAAGAGTACATGTAACTATCAACTAGTTGTGTTTCAAGTACAATGTACATGTACATGTATGTTTCTTTTCTATTTTCGTCAAACAGAACGGAATGTAGTTGTGAAATATATTCAGCTTTTGGGAAAAACCTTGCACAGAAAGAGAAACAAAACACTAACGATTCAATAATTAATGTCTATAAACAGGTTCAATTTCAAGCATATCAATGTACAGTTTTGAGCTGTTTTTCATTTCAATTCTGGAAAAAATTATTTGACAGAAACCTTTGTTCAGTGAAAATCCACTTCATGACACACGATGATGCATTTTCTTGCAGAGTTTTACAGTTGAAATAGAATATATTATTTCCTGAAATGGAAATTGATCATTTTGAAACGCAATCTTTTTTTATTTCTTCTGTGGCTGAAATGTAATTGTTGTTAAAACGAATTTCAGATCCAGAGAGGGAAGATGAGTTGGGTGTCAACGGAGACGAATCGCCCACCATGAGTGATGACCAGGGTGACATCAGCCTTGGATGTCATGATGGACCACTCAACATACAGGCACAGGGCGATAGCCCCATGCAGCCAGAGAGTCACATGGCCTATGCTTCCCAAGTACAGAGAGAGGACTCGGCGGGTTCTGGCTACGGCTTCACCAGCAGCACGGAAACCGAATTTGCCGGCAGCGAGGAACAAGGCCAGGATAGGGAATTCAGGGATTTTATATGCCGTCTTTGCAAGCGCACCTTCTCCAAAAAGCAGAGTCTACGACGGCATATGAACCTGCACAGTGGTCACCGTCCTTTCCAGTGCCCGTTCTGTGAGTACCGGTCGTCACGCAAGGACCACCTGCAGCTTCACATGAGGACGCGACACGATCCGGGCCAGAGCAAGCACTATGTGTACAAGTGCCCGATCTGTGGTAACTCATTTCCCAGCCAGAAGAGGGTGCTAACCCACCTCAAGAGCCACCAGACTGTCCACCGTTGCGAACAGTGCGACTACGGCTTCCCTTCACTTCTCGCCTATGAAAACCACAAGAAGATGAAACATGCCACTGTGTCTTGCCCACCTACGACTGAGCCTAGCTCCTTCACGTGTCCGACCTGTAAGTATGAGTGTGTCAGTGCAGAGGATTACAACAATCACCTTCAGAGCCAAAGGCACCGTGACATGATCACGGCATCCGTGCGCGTCCCACAAATACACGTCCAGCGTCGGCTGCAGATGGGCGGATCATCAGCTTCAGCTAGCTCCATGGAAAGCGCTTCTTCCCTGGAGAGAGAAACTAGCTTTGAATCAGTGCAATCGGGGCGATCCATGCCCCCCTCCGGACTGGTAAGCATGCCCAGTATCTCAGCAGAGGTTCCCTGTACGGGAACTGTGCCACTATCCTTGGTTAAAGTTCCAACAATAACCGTGTCGCCTAATCACCAACGAAGGGAGGAGAGTTATGAACACTCCCCTTCCAGGGATGACAATAGTCCAAGTCAGAGGCAGTGTATACCCCAAGGTAGGGGAGGTTCAGCTAACCTCCCAGTCATCTCTCACATAGTTTCTCTACACCAGAACGGTAAGGAATCTGCAACTAGGCGCTCCCCTCTACGAGAGAGCAGGTCCACCTCGGGATCTGCACCCAAATCCTATGAATCCTACGAGTCGGGTAAAAGTTCGTCCAGTTTTGAGTCTCCAGGTTTTCTCCTCCCCAAGGCATCTGCTGTGTCGCCTCAGCGGTCAAGCCGTACGCCGAGCCCTCAAGGCACGCCCTTGCTGATGATCGGGGGCATGCACGGGAGGCCGGACGACTCGCCCCACAAACGAAGGTGCCTAAGTCATACTGGATCCTCCAGTTTGGAATCTCAGCCGTCCTCGGAGCTGATGGCGGGGGTGTGGGGAAGCCAGCCCACCCCGGTCATCTGCCGTGACAACAGCACACAGGATGACGTCTGGAGATGCGAGTTCTGTCACATCATCTTCCCAGACAACATCATGTACGCCATCCACATGGGCTGCCACGACCTCCGCAATCCTCTACAGTGTAACATCTGCGCCTTCCAGTGCCAAGATAGGTATGAGTTCACCTCGCATATAGCCAGAGGCTTGCATAGCAAAAGCCCCTCTGGGCGGGCAAGCCAGTATTAATGTTGAAATCAACAGGTATCTATTTGAAAGAAAAATATTCAAATTTAAAAATACTGGGAATATATTTTACTGTTTAACACGTAAGAGATTAAATAATTTAAAAGCAGAAAATCTACATTTTTATTCATCATGAGAATATGAATCCGTATACAGCTGTTTATCAATTAAGTACGTAATTTGCTGTAGGTTTGGTATAACTTGCACAAACTCATGCAATAGAATCATTGGTGTAAAACCTAACCACTGACGTGACTGATAGGAAAAGCTACATGTACCTAGACACGTTCAGTACACATAGTACATGTAGGCTGTAAATTTGCGACCCAAATTCTAACCCGCTTTGGATTTTTACTAGGAACCTTCTGAAATTCTTCAAATTATTCTTAAATCATGTGTACAAGACTTCTTGGTTCATTTCATCAGCACTTGGTCGTCACATTGCACTGTTCATGAGCAAGGCTTAAACTAAGGTCCATGCGATGAATTTTTCTTAGGAACACATTTTGTGCAACTTTCTACTCAAATGTATGAAACTATTTGACATGGATCCCTTTTTGGTTAATTTTATTGAAAAGTGCACTTCTTGAAACATTTACCATTTTCCATACTTTTCCGGACAATTGAGGGCGCTGTTGCTGTGATGTCATTTCAGGAAGACACTGTTCAGTTTAGGGGTTTTCTGTTCAAATTGTGAACCCCAAATTTGCTCATCGAAAACATTCAGTGATTCATTTGCTCATTGAGAAAGGTTTGCTCATTGGCTTTCTGCCATGTACTTACCGTACTCGACAATGAATCATCAAAGAAAAGAAATTTTATGACAGCAAAATACCCAAATTCTAGTCACCTTTTGTGCCAAATTTGAATTAGCATCAATAACAGAAAGGCACCAAAATACCCTTCAAAATGAAGGTTAAATGGGACATAAAGTTGTATTTTCAAGGATGGCGTTAGAAAATTACATTGCATGGGCCCTTTAAATTAAAGCCCATCATTAAAAGCATCCCTACTTACTAGCCAGGAGTAGCTTCAGACAAACTTCCTCAACCGATTCGATACAGTGTACATGTACATGTACCGTAGTTCTGGCATGAGTTAAATTAAACTTACAAGTAAATTATCTTTTAATTAACATGTCAACGATTTTAAAAAACTGCTAGTAAAGTCCTATTCAACCTGACTGATTTGAACCGAATTATGAACAGTTCAAAAGGAAAAAAGTCTGGTATCGGGACATTGCATGTTAGTGTAAGACCCTGTAAAACATGTCCTTCAATGACCCTTCCTTCAGGGATTCTTATTTACACAGAAGTCCCATAAACAGAAATTCTTAAGTTCAGTTTGTAAAAACAGACGGCAACTTTTATCGTGTTGTCTTTGCCATTGGCACGTACCCTTGTTTCCACAGACAATTCAACATGTTCCTTTGTAAAGTTCTGCGACACAGATGTATACATACATACATGTACATCTTCATGAACAACTTAACGTATTGGCAATTGCTCCCCCCTCCAGAATTGAATACAAACCACATGTGGTTTTGCATGTGGTTACCTAAAAAGGTTTCACCATGTACATGTACAATGTACATGTGTGCCCCTCCCCTCTCCCATAACAGAGTATTGATAAAATCTGATTCATCCAGGCATCACCAGTATACATCTACATTGTAGGCTATGATGGAATACCTTACTTTCCCAGGTCAAACACCCATTTCCTGAAAGAAAAAAAAACAACGTCGCCAGCGATTTCTTCGTTCCTCGCAACATACTTAACTGATTACAAAAAATCCACTGCTAAAGCATGACTCTGAAGATTGGTCTCTGGTGGCCAGGCATCGTGAGTGAGTTATCCTCATTTTGGCAATTTCCTTACTTCATTCAAAACTTCCACTTTGCTGGATTCCAGGGCAGTTTGTAAACTCAAAACACAGTCTGTTACCTGTCCTTAAAAAATTATGGCAGTTGATATTGATGACATGTTTTTTAAACCTTTTTCTGTACAACTGCATTTTTTGGTTGTTGCAACATTGTGCACTTCATAATTTATCCTTGGCAGACCTTAATGAGTCGTTTGTTTTAATTTTTTTTGCCAATTTTGTTTTCTAACATGTTAATATGTCCAGCAGTTCCTTCCACTTTGGCAAACGTTGCCAACTTTGCAGACATTTTTCCGTTGGATATGCACAAAGAATTCAAGAACGTTGGGAATTTTTTTTTTTTTTTACACCAACCGCACAATACTTTTGACATCTGACATTTTGAAATAACACGTTATCTTACATTCTCCTGAGGATTTACATTGTACATGGTCATAGATAAGCAGGCATACTTCCTTGGATTAAGATTCTAATTTTGAAGGTAGTACAAGGTAGTATATTGAATTTTATTTTGAGAACCTGATTTGGGGAGATTTGAGATATTTCTTTCAAACTCATCCATTAAAGATTTCCATGTTATCTTGAAAAAAAAAAAATATAAAAAAAGGAGAAGACTTAATGCCAAAGTTTGCATGTTCCAAATTGAAATCTTTCTTTTTTTTCACCCCGAACCTGATATCAATCAGAATTTGAAGTTAAGCTTGTTCCAAACAGTACATGTATATATTACTCCAAGTTTATTCACCCAGAACATCCTTCAAAAGATTGTTCTGCTTGTTATTTTTTCAGTCGTAATGTACTTGGCCCTTCCAAATTTCTCTGTGGATGACTAATGCACTGCTGTAGTCAGAAACCCGGATGTGCAATGATGTGAAAGCATCCAAAATCTCAGATCACAAAAACATGTCCAGTCAGAATCTTTTATTTTGTCAGAGAAACTCTTATCACTCTGGTCACAAGTGCAAGTGATGGAAGTGTAAAAATCCCAATCCTTTCAAGTTTGACAGTGCACATAGTATAATGACTTTTTACACCTCCATTTCAAAATGAAATGCACTTTTGGGAATTTTTTGCCTTAAAAGTGCGCTTTTAATCAGATATATAGTAAGTAACAACCTGTACCGGTAGGTCTTGGCACATGTACATTGTACATGTACAGATGTGTCTACACTTGTTTTATACAGTTGTGTTTTACTATACTCTGGAGGACAATGCTTTGTGTTTCCCTTTGTCCCTGTAAAATAACACTCTCCCATAGATTAAGCACATAGCCGTATCCTGTGAAGTATGTATTCTCATTAGTTCATCACTCTGAATGATACAGATTCTCATCAAATTTCCATCAGTTACACATTTTTCAACCACGTTGGCTGTATTTTACAAGACAACCACCTGGATCATGACTGCAACAAAGCACAGTAAGCACTGGTGAACTTAATGATGCAAAGCAAAATTGAAAGTTTGATGAAGATGGTGTCAGTTTTGGGCTCCTTTTTTGTTGACCATATGTTATTGTCTAAAAGTGAAGATGGGGTCACATTTTGTAAATTCCCCCAAATTATTCAAAAAAGATTTGCCTTTAATAATAATAATACTAATAATTTACACATTAATATTGTGCAAATTCCATATATGAATATGATCTAATGCGCATCACAATTATTATCCCTGTTCGTCAGGAATGAGACCATTTTTTTCTGTAGCAATTTGGTCTCTACCTTTACAGGTACCAATTTATACTCCTGGGTGGAGAGAGGCAATCGTAGTAAAGTGCCTTGCTCAAGAGCACAAGCACCATGTTCCCCGTCGGGGTTCGAACCCCTGTACCACGGCACACGAGTCGAGCACCGTAACCATTGGACCACAGCGCCCCACAGTTGGGGCTTCTGACAACTTACATGTAGAATTCACTGTGACATGGAATATTCTAGGAAAACCAGTACATACGTATCTACTTGTATGTCTTCACGTCCAGCATTGTCCAGGAAACTGATGATTATACAGGATGTGCATGTGGCTTTGCCAACGGAGCAACATTCAGGGGATCGGGGAAGAAACGTTACCGGTACCTGGAAATGACACACAGCACTGTACATTGACATGAATTACACCATCCCCGGAAGTCCAGGTCACAAGAAGGTTTCAGAGAAATCCAATCAAAATAATTATATTTATCAAAATTGTCCCCAAAATGCTTCTTACATGAGACAATTAGACAATTCTCCACTTCATGAGTACAATCTGGTAATTTCCCCCTCAAATTGCTAGTTGCACTGTTGTGTAGAAGCTGAAACTTAAAGAAAAGCTACAATGTACAGAGACAAAACAATGGAGACTAAGGGCTAAGGGATGAGGAAAATCTTAGGCGTGAACATTTACAATTTATTCTAAGAAAACCCCTACAAAGAATAGAGTGCTGCATTAAAAAAAAAAACAGAAAGAATTCTGTACTACATTTTGAAATATATAATAGTGAAGGAATGAACCAGAAATGATCTGAAATACACGTTCAATGATTGACTCAAAATGAATGCATCTCCAAGATTACTTTTTTTTTTAAGATTCAAAATCAATTATTTGTGTGTGTCTTATCTCAAGTTGTCTGCGCGTAGTTTATTTTTCTTTGGACAAGTAGAAAGGACACAGTGCGGGTATATCTTGTGTGCAATAGCGTGGGCATACAATGTGCATGTACTTGTTAAGTCTGTATGGCCAAAAGAAGTCCTAGATTTTGGGTCGGCGTGTGCCTTGCTTATAAACCCTTCACTTCGTTTTTTTTTCTGGGTAGCTTAGTTTCTAGTCTGTTGCTCACTACCCACAAGATAATGGGGCTTCAAAACTTTGCCCCTGCTCCCCTTCTGAAATTTGAATGATCTACAAACTTGGTACGCCTTCCACATACAATGTGTGTTGGGTTACTTTAACATGCATAATGTGGTAGACATTAATAATATTAAATAACATTAATAAAAACAAATGTCCAAACTATAATTTCAACCAAATGTGTGCTTTATTAACATTTATGATTTCTATTAATAATTTCTAATGTGAACATACATGTAATATGCCTTTGGGGGCACAATTTAAATGTCATGCCTGTGGGGCAGAGGGGGTTAGCTCATAAGTCCGACACCTCGTAGGTCCGACGCCTCATAAGTCCGACAAAATCGCATCCCCAACCCAAAAAAGGCCCATAAGTCTGACGCCTCATACATGTAGGTCCGACGCCTCATAAGTCCGACAGCCATTATTAATTAAACAAATATTGCGTAAAATGTCAGAATGTTAGCGTTTCTAATTGTTAAAGTTAGCGATAATTGACATTAAGGGATGCACAAGATGCTCCCCCCCCCCCCTGTTTACCGCCCAAACCTCCCCGCTGGCAGACTGATCTGCTGCCAGTTAGTTCATGCTATGCACAGTGTGCCGTTCATAAGTAGACAACCTCGCGGACTTAAAACCTCGTATTACATTGTATTCTTTTCAATCTCTTTCTTGCCTTGTCGGACAAATGAACCTTTTCTGGTCCATAGCTCCGACGCCTCACAGGTCCGACGCCTTGTTTTTCCGACGTCGGACTTATGAGGCGTCGGACCTATGAGGCGTCGGACTTATGAAACGGCCCCGGGCTGAGCATGTGTACATTTGCAGACTCAAAAGTTCTGCTTCTGTTTTGTGTTTTTTAGTTATTTATAATTTTTTAGGGAGGATTTTTTCCCTTTTTGTTTTTTGGTTGAGGGAAATTTCAGTTTCTGAATTGATCTGGATTGACAGTAGGGCAATGGTAGATCTAGATGAATCTGGCAAATTCCCCCCCCCCCCCAAAAAAAAAGATTAAAACAAAAAGTAGTACACTTCCAAGAAACCCTTTCCCTGACCAATTTTTTTTTTTTTTTTAAATGGAAGAAAAAATTTCACATACATGTACACTGTACTAAGTCCAACGGATCGTATCAGAAATTAGCAGATTTTGAAATAAATATAAAATTCTTTTATGGTTATAAACCGAATATACATGTACTTGTACATCTCTCTGAAAGTTATAATTTATTTGATGCTTTAAAATCTTTATTGCTATACATGTATGTGTACAATGTACATGTACAAGTCTTTTTGGGATATGCACATTTTTGCTGTAATCTTTAAAAAAAAATCACCTTGTGTAAATTATATTCCTTGATATAAATCTATGTTTGCACGTGAACTTTGGCATATGTTTGCACATATATACAGTGATATATAAATATAGTGTGCACACATGTATAAATATGTGTACATTTTGTCAGCTCCGACAGGCGTTTCCATGGAAACAGAAGTGCCCATTTTGATGTGAAAATAACTTTTGTAGCAGTATTTTATCTCATGCACTTGTTAAGACACAGGGTGAAATTTTGCCTACTTTCTAGTTCAAGTTGTATCACAATATAAAGTGAAGGTATCTGTACCCATGTAGGCAACCTTTTTTTGGCAACAATGTGATGTAACAATAAATGTTGGTGTACATCAGAACATGTACGTGTATGTACCTCTATGGGATTTTGTACACTAATCATATGAGAGAGGCCTAAATATTTTACAACTCAGCAACTCAGTTGATATAACGATTTATTAAAAAAAGAAAATTTTATGACGGCTCAATATAGTAGTGTAAAGTTTTAAGAATAATGTACAAGTATGTAAGCACATGTATAGAGTAGGATCAAATTGAAATTGATGTGTATTAAACTTTTGGCTAAACCAAAGCTTCTGTCTATGTTATACATTGTACATGCTCATGCATAAATGTTTAAAAAAAAGAAAGACAGAAATTGCTTCTCATTAATTTGGTGAAACAAAGTGGTGGAGAAAATGTATAGAGTCTGTTAGTTTGCCTCTTCCATTTTGCTGGGGAGGGGGGGGGGGAGGGTTGGTCAGGGAATATACACCGACCCCACTGTTTGGATGTTTTCAGTTTAAAGCTCATAACATTGGAATTATTTATCCAACCCATTGTCATGATTGTACTACATCACATTACACCGTGTTACGTTGTGTTTATTCACTGAAAAATCCATAAAACCGGGTGGTTTTGGTCGCTACAATGTCTAATGGGTTAAGATTTGCATAAGTTTTGGAATTGGGAAATGCTTTCCATCATATGACTGTCCATATTCCGTTGTATGACTATCCATATTCCGTTATATGACTATCCATTTTGTTATATGACTATCCATATTCCGTTATATGACTATCCATTTTGTTATATGACTATCCATATTCCGTCATATGACTATCCATATTCTGTCATATGACTATCCATATTCCGTCATATGACTATCCATATTCCGTCATATGACTATCCATGTTCCGTCATATGACTCTATATTCCGCCATCCTAATCCATATGCCGTCATATGACTATCCATGTGATCCATCTTTGCTCCCAGGTCCTTAGCTCTGAGGAAAGTTGTCAGCTACACGCAAGTCTGGCAACCTGCCTGTTTAGCAAATTGACATTCTCACATGTACCGGTATATGTTGCATCGATCAAAGGGCTCTGACCATTCAAACTGGATCTTAGGTCGCATCCAAATGATTTCATTGGCTATAGCTTGCAGTCACACGTGTCCGTGGAAAGTGAATTCAGCCCCTTAAGTGTAAGAGTACATGTAGTTGGACTCTTTAAGTCCCGAGCTAGCAGATCCCATCAAAATACTGGACTTGTATGGACTTTGATAGATTCAGGGTATTCAGGGTTCAGACTCGACCATATTTTGTAGTGTTTGTGTCGGTTTTGTGAAAACTGCTTGTAAAAACAACACCTTATGATAACCCCCAGTAATTCATCTGATTTACAGGTGTGTTGAATGCATGTATAGACCCCAAATTGTGTAATCATGGTAATTGTACAAAAAAACGGACACAATCTCTGTTCTTTGCAATCTTTGCAAGTGATCACATGTACAGTGTGTAGATACATACACCTCAACCATGTCAACAGGAAAAGGAAAAAAAAAAAAGGAATTTTCACCGTCGAGTCTTGCCTTAAATGTCAGAAAAATTATTCTCCCAAAATGTCGGAGGGTAAAAAAACTACCAAGATTTAATGTGCATATAGGATAACGAAGATGCAGCCTTTGGAGCCTCGGTCTAAATGTCAAACTGTGAATAAATGACGTGATTGCGGTGACTTGCCAAGGCCTTTGAGATCTAGTCAATTATACTTGAAAATTCGTGGAAAAAAGGTGTGCGTGAACGTGTTGAAAGTTTTCAGAGTTATGACGTCGAGCT